CCTTCCTTCCTTCCTTCCTTCCTCCTCCTTCTTTCCTCAGCCCAAGATGGAGAACTTTCTGGAGGGAGTAGAACTGGGCCAATCCGCCCAAAGTCTTATTTGTCTGTACAGAAGAGAGTTTATGAGGGGGCCCGCTCCCCATTTTTCACCATAAGTGCCAAGTTATGTACCATTTCTGTCTCTCTCTATATATATGACTTAAAAAAAAAATTCTGGAGTTTTTGCTTTGAAAGTAGGGTTGGGATGATGGTGAATGGTTTATCTCCAAGGGGGGAGGATGGTGGTTGAAGGTGGAGGAGATGCAGAAAAGATGGGAAAGAAAGGATTGATTAGAGGGAAAAGAGAGGTGGGGATAATGCCTTGATGCTGATCGTTTGAAGAAGTTGGAAAAGTCCCAAAAGCTTAAAGATGGTGGACTGGATGTCCCCTGAGGTGGGATGGTTAGCGTTTTGAGAAGTTTCAGAAGCTGAAAAAAAATGGGACGTTTTTAGCTCACCTTTCTCGACAATAAAATGAGTGAGAGACTTGAAAGAGAAAAAAAATCCTGTAAATCTGAGGTAATAATGGGTTGTCTTGACAAGCTAAACCATTCATTCATAAAAGTAGAGTAGAGATAATCCTTGACTTACAACCATTCATTTAGCGACCGTTTGAAGTTACAACGGCACTGAAAAGGGTTCCTTATGTCCGTTTTTCACACTTATTAGATTTAGATTAGATTAGATAACCTTTATTGTCGTTTTTCCCTGTGGGCGCAATGGCACAGATTAAAAATGAAATTTAGTTGCTTCCTCTCAAAGTGTACACATACATAACACCCATTTAAAACATGCTATATACAACATATGTATAGAGCTACACCCTTACTAGCATCCCCATGGTCACACGTGTTCAAAATTCGGGCGGTTGGCCCCTGGGGTATATTTATGACGGTTTCACTGTCCCATGTGTGTGTGTGTGTGTGTGTGTGTGTGTTCATGTGATCACCTTTTGCAACCTTCCCAGCCAGCTTCCGACAAACAAAGCAATGGGGGAAGCCAGGTTTGCTTAACGACCACATGTTTCACTTAGCGACTGCAGTAGTTTGCTTAACCTCGGTAGCAAAAAAGGTCGTAAAATGGGACACAACTCCCTCATTGCTTAGCCGTGAGAAATTTGGGCTCAGTTGTGGTTGTAAGTCAGGACTACCTGTATTATCCATGGAGAACACTGTTAAGCAAATCTTTGGCCAGATGTTAGGATTTCAACTGCTGGATGCCTTTTTCGAACCATTGAGCTCAATGGGACTGATATTTTGGGCCCAGGTTTCCTCCTTTGGGAAATACCTTTACTTTTCCCTAACCCAGGGGTAGGCAACCGTGGCTTTTTTATGACTCGTGGACTTCAACTCCCAGAATTCCTGAGTCAGCCATGCTGAGGGGAAAGGGAGAGGTTTCCAAGATGAGCCAGGCTGGCTCAGGAATTCTGGGAGTTGAAGTCCACGAGTCATAAAAGAGCCAAGGTTGCCTACCCCTGGGCTAGGAGGCTCACCGCTTAGAACAGGAGGACTTAGGCCAGGGCTAGGCAACCTTGGCTCTTTTATGACCCGTGGACTTCAACTCCCAGAATTCCTGAGCCAGCATGGCTCAGCTTGGAAACCTCTCCCTTTCCCCTCAGCATGGCTGGCTCAGGAATTCTGGGAGTTGAAGTCCTCCGTCATTGACCAGATAGGTGGCTACCAGGTTTGAACTGTGGGGTCCTTGATGCTCTCTGAGCATGGTTGTTTTCTTGCAGACATTTCATGACCCAACTAGGCAACATCATCAGTGCTAGAAAGGAGTGGGGTTTGCGGAGAGGAGGAGGAGGAAGAGAAGAACTGTGGGGTCCTTGGTGCTCTCTGAGGTTGCTGGTTTTCTTGCAGACGTTTCATGACCCAACTAGGCAACATCATCAGTGCTAGAAAGGAGTGGGGTTTGCGGAGAGGAGGAGGAGGAGGAGGAGGAGGAGGAGGAGGAGGAGGAGGAGGAGAAGGAGAAGGAGAAGGAGGAAGAGGAAGAGGACGACGACTGTGGGGTCCTTGGTGCTCTTTGGTTCTTTTCTTGCAGACGTTTAATGACCCAGCTAGGTAACATCATCAGTGTTATCTGTTAGTAGCGGATTGCCAATTCCACAGTAGAGCAGGGGCTAACCAGATTATGGTTATGGAGAGAGAAATGGAGGTACTAGGGTTTTGGACATACAGATAGGGAGATCCTATTTCCCTGGGTTAGTCCTAATCCTGGGTTTGTGCCATTCTCACACTTAACTGTGTTTGACTGTTAGAATGTAAGGTGACTGGATAAGGAGAAACACATTTCCCCCCCCCTCTAGTTAGGATGTTTTTTTTTCCAGCCCACCTGGGTTTTTCCTTATCAGGAATTTTGTGGATTCTTCCCCCCCCCCACTTTGAAGATAAAAAACAACAACAACCAAAAAGGAAACATTTATATGAGGAGGGGATATAAGTGGCTCCCAGGGAAAAGAATTAGACAACCCCTTCCTCTTCGCCAATGCCCGACCCACGACTGCGTCCTTCTGAAGCTGCTTCTCATTAGGAAAATAAAAGTTGGAGGGAACTTCCATATGACTGCGTGTACCGTGTCGTTTGGCCCTAAGGAAATAGGACATTTTTTTCTTTCTACATCTGTTTCTCTAAATCTTTTGGAAGACGTACAAGGCTGTTTGGATAAATAAGCTGGTGCTTTGGATTGTAATGGAGAAGAGGGGGAGCTGAGTAAATTTTTCGGGTGTTGGTGGAGGGGGTAGAGGGTAGAGCAGAACCTTTAAGCAGAAATTCTGCCTCCCCCCTCCCTTTCTTGATATAAGCCCCCTTTTTTAGGTAAGAGAGGGCTGTCCTCGACTTATGACCACAATTGAGCCCAAAATTTCTGTTTCTAAGTTGAGACAGTTGCTAAAATGAGTTTTTGCCCCCATTTTACGACCTTTCTTGCCACAGTTGTTAAGTGAATCAATGCAGTGGTGAAGTTAGCCACACGGTCGTTAAGTGAATCTGGCTTCCCCATTGACTTTGCTTGTCAGGAGGTCGCAATCCCACGACAGTGGTGGGATTCAGCCGGTTCCCACTGGTTTGGGAGAACAGCTAGCTAAATGTTGTTGAGTTCGGAGAACCGGCTGAATGCACACTGCTTCTGGAAGTCTGTTCTAGGCCTCGGAGGCCTGGAGGAGGCCTCCCAGGCCTAGAACGGCCCGCCGGAAGTGCATGGATGCCACTTCCGGAAGTCCGTTCGAGGCCTCGGAGGCCTCCCAGGCCTAGAACGGCTCGCCGGAAGTGCGTGAATGCTACTTCCGGAAGTCTGTTCTAGGCCTCGGAGGCCTGGAGGAGACCTCCCAGGCCTAGAACGGCCTGCTGGAAGTGCGTGGATGCCACTTCCGGAAATCCGTTCTAGGCCTCAGAGGCCCAGGCCTGCATCCACGCAGAGAACTGGTTGTTCAAGTATTTGAATCCCACCACTGCCCGGGACACTGCAGCCGTCATAAATAGGAGTCAGTTGCCGAGTGTTTGAATTTTGATCACATGACCATGAGGATGGTGCAATGGTCATAAGTGTGAAAAACGGTAAAAAAAGTGATTTATGATCCTTTTTCACCCTTACGGCCATTGCACCCTCCTCAAGTCACTTTTTTCAGTGCCGTTGTAACTTTAGATAGTCACTAAATGAATGGTTGTGAGTCAAAGACTTACCTGTATATGGAAGGAGATTACATTAATTTCTACTCTTGAGTCATTTACACCATGTGAATTACCTGTAAACTGATAGTCCTCGATTTACGGCCATTTCTTTAGAGACAGTTTGAAGTTTCGAGGGCGCTGAAAACAATGTGACTTACAACTAATCCTCACGCTTATTTGACAGGCTTCCTGATGGCACCAGGTGCGCTCTTATTTTTGCCGCACCTTAGATGTGAAGAACATTATCCTGGTTAGACGTTTGAGAGCAGGGTCTTCAAACTTGGCCCTTTTATGACTTTTGGACTTCAACTCCCAGAATTCCTGAGCCAGCCATGCTGAGTCAACCACGGCTGGCTCAGGAATTCTGGGAATTGAAGTCCACAAGTCATAAAGGGACCGTAGTTCCCCACCTCTGCTTTAGGTTGTCCACAATCTCTTTCAGAGTATGGTTCGACAAGGGCATTGTGGGAATTTAGATGGGGGATAGAAATGAAATTTGGAGGACAGTGCTGAAATTCATGGTGCTGCTTTTAGAGCCAGTGAGTTTTTTTTTTTAAATGACAATAGCAATAGCATTTAGGCTTATATACCACCCCATAGCAGCGTGTGAGTGATTTGTAATGTAAGAAGCATTATTTGCATATTGCCCCAACAATCTGGATCCTCATTTTACCAACCTCGGAAGGATGGAAGGCTGAGTCAGAAGAGAATAGAAGCTAACAAATCAGAATAAGAGTTGGAAGGCACTTTGGAGGTCATCTAGTCCAACCCCTTGCTCAAGCTGGAAATCCTATAACATTTCAGGCAAATGTCTGTCCACTCTCTTCTTAAAAACCTCCAGTGATGGAGCATCCACAACCTCTGAAGGCAAGCCGTTCCACTGAGTCCATTGTCCTCACAGTCAGGAAATTTCTCCTTAGTTCTAGGTTGCTTCTCCCCTTGATTATTTTCCATCCATCGCTACTTGTTCTCCTTAGGTGCTTT